ATTTTATGAGATAACCATTGAGATATGTAACAAATTTAATTTAGAATAATTTATCTATAATAATAATAATTTTATTATATATTTCTACTTTATATCTATTGTGTTATATTTAGAAAAAGTTGTTTTGATAAACTACATGAGATACTTTAGAGTGCAATAATGTGTATCAGTAAGAAATTTAATTAATTCTTTGATTTTATTAATTATAAAAAACACAATGGGAAATAACAAGATTGCGCAAAATGCGCAATAAAATTGTAAATGAATAAGTGATTAGGTGAATAAATTACTAGAATGTTTTTGATTCCGAAAATTTTTGATTCAGAAAAATTCTGATGATGATTTTCTTGTTGACACAATAATCGGTAGAAGATAAATGAATATATGATTAAATCAATGCATGCACACACGTATTGATTCTTATTATTATTATCCACATACATATATATTTAAAATTTCCCGAAATCTTATGCCCAAATCTACCATCCATTGACGTTGGCGACACATGTAAAACATGATCAAAATCAAATAAGTAGGTTACAAATTTTTTCATTTGTTCCCTAATATATTTTTATTAACATGTATAAGTAGCCATGAAATAATAGCAGAGAATTAATATTAAAATATTAACGTTTATTCGTAATAAATTCCAAATGCAAAACAATAAGCGTAAAATGTTCGAGCTTCATATGTAAATGTAGAATAATTATCTCTCTCGGTGTCCGCAAGAAATCCCATAATTGATTGTATACCTTGATTCGCTTTCTCTATGATGGTTAGATTGACCACGATTTTATATCTGAAGAAAAATTAATTTAAAATATTTAAATTATTAATTTTTTAATCATACAAAATATCATTATATTTAAATTAAAAATATACCGATCAAAGTTCAAATTTTTTATTTTTTCTCTGATATCGGTGGCTACTGACTCACAAATTTTCGAGCATTCCGTACCATCATAAGAGATATCTTCTAGCTTATTTATCATTATCATCTTTACAATCTTATCCACTGGATCTACTTTAAAAGGATTATAAGCATTCAAACGATAAGTGTTCTGATATTTTGGCGCCTATGGAAATAAAAAAAAAACAAATAGTGTATATATGTTATTGAATTAATCATACAATCATTAAGTAATTTTAATTTAATTTGTTTGTATACTATGAAGAATGGTAATTAAAAAATTAAAAAGATTAGGTAAAAAATATTATTGAACAAAATATCTATAATATTTTAGATATAATATAATAAATATAATAAAAAATGAAGTAAAATTATTTTCTTACCTCGCGTTCATTTTCTTGATTCGTAAGATGACTATCCATATTTCAAAAATGAAATATATTAAATAAAATATAGAATTAAAAATATAAATATTCCATTTAAAATGTACTAAAATTTATATTTGGTAATAAAAAATTGTATTGGTAATTAATAATTTTTAAATTTGAAAATATTGGAATCATAGAGATACTTATACAGTACAATCTTATATAGTTACTTAGAAACGAAACTAAACAATGTTGATTGATCAATCTTATGCTAAAATAAAATCAATAAATATATTATATTTGTATTGAATATTTATATAACGAGAATATAAATAAAAAAGAAATATATTCTCTTTGTATGGGATACTATCATTTTCATTTTTCATTTTTCATTTTATAAAATAATTATTGAAAAATATTTTTTTTTTATACTTTGAAATTATTTATAAAGAAAATATTCGCATTAACTCTTCAAATTAATTCTCAAAATCATTTTTAATATTGTAAAAAATAAATAAGAATACTTAAGAAATAAATAAGAAACATTCAAATCAATATCGATTTATGCGATATATCGAATCGATTTAAATTATCGAAATATTGCGAGGTTATAATTAAGAAACCGCGCTTTCTTAAAATATCAGTCTATCTTTGACTAATATAAATAGCATTATTTAATGTAAAATATTATTTTTTTGTATAAATATTTTTTGTACTTCAGTGTGTAATTTGAATTAAACAAAAAGTTATTATTTTTAAATAAAGCATAATTTGAATTATGAAAAAATTGATAGTATCAAGGTTAGTGAACTATCATCAATTTAATTAGTGGATATTATTTATGTATTTTATAATTTTTTATAAAATTATCTAAAGTAACGTGTATAATCAAACAATTAATGTATACTTTTAAAAATTGATTTATTTTGATATTATTAACTTTGCCAATAATTTTGCCAGTTTTGTATTTCCATAGAATAATAGTAAAAAGAAAAAAAAAGCATATAATTATATAATTTCTGATATCTTTTTTTTCTGATATTATTTTTGATAATAATAAATTATAAAATTTCCGTTTAATTAAATAATTCATGCATTTTTTCTATCTTGTAATATATTTAAAGATTTACATCAATTTAATTAGTTAAATAAAATAAATTATGACAGATCGACAATTCTTTGATTTTCGTTTTACATTATTTCAATTTTACAACTGTGAATTTAATTCATATGTAATTTAATATAACAATATTTAAAATCTTTTTATTAATTGAATACACATAAATTTCTTAATATTAGTTACAAATGTTATACATGTGTAACTTTAGTAGAAGCAATTACACCAAGATATAAATTTTTATATTTAAATATTTAAAAAATTTATTTAAATATTATTAGTATAAAAAGCGTTATTAAATAAATTTTAGCATTTTATTTTGAAAACAAAAATATAATATAAATAAATGAAAAAAAAACAAAATTATAATATAAATATAGAAAGATACATTCATGTGATATTTAGTATGGAAATAAGAATTTTATAATTTGCATTATAAAATTATATCTTATTTTTATTTAATGAAATAAAATATATTTAGCATAAAAAAATTTTTATGCTAAATGTGAAACATGAATGTATCTCTTATTTAATAATATATTTCATTTTTGCATGATGTCATTTGACATTACTTAAATACTAATACACAAAATATAGATTTGTGCTACTTTACTCTACATGGAGATCAATGTCTACTGACACAATAAAAGAATTTTGTGTCAATTTTGGAACCTTATTTTTGTTTTTTAATTAATAAACATATTTAGTAACAAAAACAGTTACAAAGATACATCTTTTCATGCATAAAATTCATTAATTATTCTAAGACAACAATTCAACTTCAGCTTGAATATTTTGTCGTGCTTGTTCTTCATATTTTTCACGAAATTCTTTTGTGGCAAAAATATTTGGAATTTGCACAAAATTCTGCAATACCTAATTTATTTAAAATAAATAATTAGGAAATAATTTAATATAAAATTAGGATATATTTAATTATTACCTTCAAACGTAATGCAGTATACATTGGTTCACTAAGAAAACAATATTCTCCACGTATTTTTTCTCTATATTCTGCATAATTTTCTGGAGAAGAACCTAACACAGCCATGTCCAAATCTAAAAAGTAATGAGCATCTTCACCACCAAAGGCACCACCAATTTTATGTGCATCAGTACTATGTGTTGCAGCTACTTTCAAAAGTTCACAAGTTTCTTTCCTTAATACTGCATCCTATGTAAAAAATAAAATAAAGAGTTTAATATTCATTTATTCATTAAGAGAATAACAATTTGATATTGTAAAATAATAATTACAGTAGGAATTTCAGCTTCATCTGCAAATGTATTAAAATGCTCTAAATTTTTGTTTTCACCATCTAATGCTTTTGGATCATATTCAAAGCTATAACACAATTACAATTTTATTTCATATCTTTTTCTCATTCCAATTTATGTTGTTACTTACTTTTGAAAAAATAAGGCAAGAAGCACAGCTTGAGGATTTTTTAAGTTATCTTTAATTTCATAATAACAATTCAATTTATCACGAAGAGAATCTAGATTATGATAAGTACGTTTTTCTTCTGAATAAGCTTCTTGGAGTTTTGTGAACCATGTATCACAGATATCACTATCCAAACCATCAATTGCTTCTTTCCAACTTTCTTCTATTGATGCCATTTCTCTCTGGAATTTTATATATATAAATATTTCTTAAAATATTTTCACCTAAAAAATTGTTCAATTTTAATTTTTTAATTATTGTAAATCAAATATGTAATTTAAAATTTAAAGACAGTAAAATGTTTTTGTATACAAAGAAATAATAATATATATTATAGAAATGAAATAAAATTTTTTAAAAAAGGAAAAGATATTATCTTCATGTACTTACAATATATTAAAAGATTCAAACAATTTGATAGTTCAACTTAGACAAAAAGTAAGAAATTGTGCTACATTGAAATTCTGATTACCGAAACATAATGCGTCGCTGCGAGTACTCGCTGACTGAGTGAATTCTACTTGATAAAATAAAGTCTACTTCCATTTATTGATCGGATTGTGTTCGACTTTTATCAACGAAATACAGCGTGATTTGTAATTATCACTGTTTGCATAAAATATTGTAATTGAATTTTTCAAAATATTTAATTAGTTATAAGCAATTTTAAAAAATTGTGAAGTGTGAGTTTCAAGTAAAATTTTAATCTTTTTATTCATAAAAAAAATTTATATTTAATTGCATCAAATTCATAACTAGTTGGTAACCCTTGCCGAATATTTTTGGCTTTTTCTTGAAAGAAATATATATTCTTAAATAATAATTAGAATTATGCAATAATTTTTTTATTTTTATTATTGAATACATTAATTTGTTTACATGTTTATAGTTTCAAAAAATTGAAGCATAATATACTACTACTATTATTTGTTTTAAAATTTACCGCCATTACGAAAGCAAGAAATTAATATACTCTTATAAGATATGGAAATCTTTAATGTAATTTAAAATAATTTTCATAAATATTTTATGTTTATAAACAAAATAATGATATGAAAATATAAATTGTGATATTTTTTTAATGGAGAAATGAAAATTGAAAAAATATAGTTAAAAATTTATTATATTTTTTTTAATAGTTTAACCTTAAAAAGCTTAAATTTTTTACGTGATAAAAAATGAGAGATAATTATAAATTAAATTATTTTGTGATGGCAGATTTTTTTTAGTTATAGGAAAAGAAATGAATAAAAATATAATATTATTATATATAGTTTTTATTGGGCCTTTCTTTATTGCCTTATTTTTATATGGGTTTTTTCCTTTAATAAATTATGATAATACTAAAGCCACACAAGATAATATACCAAAGTCTATAGAAAA